TTATTTAAAGAACATTGGATTGCTCTTTGACAGCAGCCGCATTTGCCTTCTTACTATGGACTCACTCGTTGCCAGACTGTGCCATCTCCAATTCGATTATCGTGAATGTTTTACTCTCACACATCTCTAAGCTCTTTATTTCATTCTCATGCTTCAACTAGCTCGAGTTTTCAGCTCATTTCTGCGATAAATACCGTATATGAAAATTCTCCTGTTCCATATGTGGCCCGTATTCTTACTGCAAAAGATAAAGTGGCTACTGAGCTTCTGGCGAATCATTTAGGTTGATTTAACTCTTTTTCAGATATATTTTTGTCTTTTATATATATATTACTGTGACGGCCTTATGAGTGTTTTGACTTATATGCAGTCACATCTACTTACGAAAATTTTTAATACTACACACTGCGATGCAATACAAAACGATATAGTAAAGTACAACACAATAAATCGTAATAAAATACAATAAAACCTCGTCTATGCATAATAAAGCCCAAGTCAATTTCGTTAATATTTAGTTTTCGATTGTTTTCATTCATCTGAAAACCGGTTTCCGTGGTCAGATTACTGATACATTACTGGTACTTTATTACTCTCATGCAACATTATTTGTATTGCATTTTGTAACTTTCGCAAACAAAGCAGCTTACATTTAAGTCAGATAGACTATACTCGCCAGCTGTCACATGAAACAAACCCGAAGAAAATATTAGGTTCACAGAGCTCATAAAAATAACGAGTGATCCAGGCTTCAGGTGGAGATCACTTGTCATCATTTCGCGCTATCTTTTGCTCTCTGTTGGTTAATACACATGCTAGAAAGGAAGGAGATGGGTGGAGGAGGACTGTTTTCACAATCTCCTCATTTTCAGAAATCGACAAAACGCAAACAATGATCGTTGGGCCACTACTTGAGCTAGGAAAAGTTCAAGTCTCACTTGTTCTGTGCACAACAGAATTCTTGAAGTACAAATTGTACGCCCAAAGGAAAATACTGATAGATGGTTTATAAAATGGTTGGAAATAAAAGAAGTGAAGAGTAAAGATTGGATTAAAACCTTTTTACAGATTCCAAGCCATTAGAATCTGTGTATTTTTTCCCTGACAGGGAAGCATACAAGCACAAAGCGCCGCTTATGAATAAAAAGAAGGGCAAAAAACAGCCATCCAGTGATCTTTTTCTTCATTATGCAACGCTTCCAGTGGAAACAAAACACAATACGCGATGTTAAGAAACGATCAATTGCACATTTGCGGCACATAAAAACGGAGAAGGTAAAACAGTACTGCTAATTCTAAGGTCGAATATTATGTGAGCTGTGATATTTTCAGTTATTGTCATGACTCGTACCAACCTAAAGAGGTTATTATCAAATTGGTGCTAATAACTAGGAAGAGGGCGAAGAATTCATCCAGTTTTGTCAACGAACCATTACTGATTTATTCAGAGAGCATTACCTAATAACAGAAAATTAATGAAATATTTTGCACTGTGTTGAATTCGGATAATGCTATGAAACTCTCACGAAAGAACTCGGTGCTCTTTGCCGTTGTTACCACACATCGTGTGTGCGTTTTTCGTATCTTTCTATTTATACATTCTTATCGTGTTACTGCTGAAATAAAAAACAACAGCAATTAGTACTACAACTTTTTAAATACTGCTCATATTATATAAGTAGCATAATATAGCGGTCAACGGATTCTTACAATATTCAAAAACAAGTAAGAAACTGTGAAGCAAACAAGTGGTTTTAATGTTGTAACAGCAAAATAGGCAAACAAGCTGGTGAACTGCTTGATCGCAGATCTAGAATCTTTCCCGGAACAGTGACCTGGTTGTTTCAGACAATCTGTTTACCCACTAACCATGTTCTTCCAATGGACAATTCCCTATACTAAATTTCCGACCAAATCTTCACTTTGTGTCCAGTCACCGACTTACGCCAGGCACATCATCAACCAATGATTGAAATGTTTCTT